TCGTGCCACTCATTATAAAATGTATTTTAATTCAAGGTACATCAATAAAAACTTCCAATAGTCTAGACCAGTAATGAGGAACCCGTACTAGTTCGTGATTAGTTTTTGTATTTATTTCATTTTGCTTTATCATTGCAACTACAAAAACCATTGACTCGAAAACGATTTTGTTATAACCTAAACTGTCTGGGATATATTATGAAATTAATTTGTTTTTATTATGATGTTCTCATAATAGATCGTGGCCAATAATAGAGTTCTTCATTATTGACTAGTGGTATTTTTATAGCTTCATTAAATGTAACATTTTGTCACATATTTACTAGCTTTCCGCCAATGACTTTGGCTGCGTGGTCTTATATTATTTTCTACTTGAATCGTATTAGAATCCATTGTTTAATTTAAAAGTTTTTATCGTATAAACAGAGGGATGCAACTTGGTTTTATACAACGTATAGATTTAGTTATGAGATGAATCGAATTAAATAAGGACAATATTGACTGTACACAATTTAGCGTTAATACATTGACGTAAGCTGCGTCGCTTATCGTACGTCACGGAACGTCAAAACTTACATATTCATATGTTTTTTTTAATATATATTTTCTCCCCACTTTCCCCATATTATGTATGTTAAAACATTCAAACTTGCACACTCGACGGATAAGCTTCCGCGTACTAACGCATTCCGTGATACGCTCAACGGATTTTAAGGCAGATACGCGTCGACCCTTACATGAAAGTTCAAGTGATAGCCATCAACCTATTTACTACGACCTCGTTGGTCGACCTCAGGTTATTCGCGTGCCTATCGCATCAGTTTAGCCACCACACATTATATGGTATTATAATGCAGTTTGACAGCTAAATTGGTTTTTAAAATTTTTATTTGTTTGCATTTTTCTTTATTTGCTTGTACAAGGATCAATATTTCTAACCAATGGTTATTTTTTTCTATTGTTAAGTGTATCTCAAACCCTTATAGGATCACTCGTGTGTACCTGTCCATTCCTTTATCACATCTAATTTATTTTGAAGCTTCTAGACCGATCGATCTCGATCATCTGACTATCATAGTCATCTGACTATGTCGATCAGTGAGCCAAAAATGGTCTTGCAACATTATAAGATGGATTTTATAATTGGAGCCACTATTTGAGAGTATTTAGAAAATTAAAAAATAAAAATCATATCTTATGATTATGACAACTTCATAACTTACAAGCGGAATAAACGATAGATTCTCTGGAAAACTAAAAAAAAAAACATTTTAGACAATAAATACAGAGACAATTTTTAAACTGAGACATAATGAATACTCATGTCTTACCTACGTATTTCATAGAGTAAACACATATTTATATTTTTATTTGAAAACATGCACAAAACCAATTTTAAAATCTTCGCTATAAATATGTAATAAGTGAGAGATCGAATAGTAATTGATGTATTCCTTGTGTTGAGGACAGCAAAGGAAATAGCGGGTTGGGGAAGAAATAGGAAATATATTTATAAATTGTACAATATAAAACGAAAGCTAAGATTAAAACAGAAGAAAAAAACTGCAAGTCAAGAATAGAGTTTTGAGTGAAGCATAGGTAAATTAAGAGTGTAATACAATATTAACAAAAATAAGGTCTGTCTTGCATACCTTGCATGCTATATAGATAGTGCCTAATCAACAATACCTACTTTAATATATTTATAAAATCAAATTAAATAGTTTATTTCAGTAAATCAGCTCAATTCCAGACATTTCAATTGAAGCCCATTTTTAAGCTAATAATTGATTTATAAAATAATTTAAAAAAATGATGGTAGCAATTATATTCTACAACATACCCTAAATTTAGTTTTAATGCAGTCAAACGGCGCTTTCAATCTTTAAATATGATTATTTTTTATATAAAAATATTTTTTTAAACACGTGTACTTACTATATATTTTTTTTAATATTGAGAGTGTTCTAATATAATCAGGGTTCGCAAAAATCCAATATTTATAATAAATATCAAAATATCTGATATTATAAATCGAAAGGGTAAAATAAAAACTGAGTTTAAGTTATATAATATTTATTTATTGTGAAATAATTCAAAAGTAGTATGTGAGCGAGGATTTCCAGTAATGTATAAGGACAAAATTCGACATTTCTAGTAATTAAGATTGCTACTTCAGGTCAATGTTGCTAGCGTCACATCGGGCTGGTTAATTTTATAGCTGAGACTGAATACTTTTACTCAAACTAACAATAAATATTATAAATATCAATTGATGTCTATGTCAATCGATATATATCGTGATATATATATCCATTGATGTTTTTCACCGGACATATTATTAGTATTTCAGCTTTTGCTGTTAAGAAAATTAGACTCTTGACAAATGTTGAAACGGCAAGATTGGTATATTTTAGTTATTTTCATAGTGTAATGACGTATGGTATATTGTTGTGGGGTTCTGCGGCTAGCATTCAGGATATTTTTATTCTACAAAAGAGAGCTATAATTTACGCAAATTATAAATATATAATTTATATATTTATAATTTGCTATAATTTACGGTCTAGGGAATCTCTCAGAGAAATATTTAAAGAAATAAATATTCTGACTGTTGCCTCTCAATACATCTATGAGAATATTATGTACACATGAAAACATTACGCTTCCTTCACAAAAAAAAAAAGTAGTGTTCATAATCTTAACACAAGAAATAAAAATAAACTTGCCGTTCTAAGTTTCAGGCTTCAAAAAACCAAAGGATCATTTCTGGGTAAATGTATTGCTATGTTCAATAAAGTTCCACAAAATGTAATTGACCTACCCATAAATAAATTTCAAATTCATGTAAAGAATATACTTATGAGTAAAGGCTATTATAAAGTTGATGATTATTTTAAGGATCGCAATGCATGGAATTAATAGCCTGGAATTAATATTTTGTTCTATAAAGACTAATTACATGTTCAACCTATGTCCTACAGACTTTGAAAGTTGTATTTATTATTGTGATAATACATATTATTTTGGTAATGACATGATTTATGTAAATGTCATTATTTATGATAAACAGCTGGTAAGTTTCTTTCGCTTGTTCTTCTTGTCAGCTAAAAGACGTCCTGAACAAGTGGTAGGGGAAAAAAAAATTTTTTTGGACGATTTAAAAGTGCTTGTAATAGCCTACTTGAATAAAGATATTTTCATTTCATTTCAGTATCTAGGTATACTAATAATATGAAGAGGAAAGATTTGATTGTTTACATTAAATAGCTAAAAAATCTATAACCTACGGGTATCTTTTTACGCGGGTGACATAGGCTATAATATCCGGCGGAGTCACGGGTAAACAGCTAATTATTTATAAAAATATTAAAATTTGGCGATTTCTGTATAATTGCATAGCTGATTTTATTTCAGATCAATCCTTCGACTACCTTGTAACCGGCCTTGTACGGCCTCTGTTATCTCATTATTATCACCTTTTAGTACGTTCGGTTGTATTTGATACTTGTTCCTTTAGTTTAAAAAATGGTCATTTTATATACAAGCAAACATTCTCAAGTAATAATTACTTGTTATGGTTAGATTATGGCTTCGTTAATTAAATATCATTATAAGCGAAATAAAAATAATTTTAAAGTTTAATAAATAAATTAGTTTATTAAATTATTTTAAGTTATTATATTGTATGTTATGTTTTAAGGTGTGAAGCCAACAGAAGCGTGCTTTTTTAATTCGGACATGTGGAAAGAATGCCAGACAAAAGTTTGACAAAACAAAATTAGGCAGCGCGAAAGTGGAAGGATGTAGAAGCCGAGGAAGGCAAAGACACAACTTTCATGATCAAATTGATCGCTTGCTTTTGGAAGATTATGTCAGAAAACTTATAAACTGCCGATCATGCAAAGAGTGATGAAAGTGGAAGAAGCGAAAGATGTATATTAAAACCGTTCTTCTCTGCTTACCCCGCAAGGGATAAGGCGTAAAGATTAAGATAGATTTGAATGGAACGCTTCGCAATAATTGTAAGAAAGAAATTTTAGCATTTTTTATGACATAAATACAAGCTGAATCTCCAGAATTCTATGTCACCTGTGATGTAGTTGCGAGGTGTTAAATAAATTTATCTCCTTTGTCTTCTTTGGCTCTAATTGGTCTGCTAATAGCCTTTGCTTCATTAAATCTATCGAAGAGCAAAATTGCCTTTAACATTATCCCTGTTGTCGTGTAAAATATTAAAAAATATGAATAGAAGTAATTTGGAGATTTGTAGTAACGTGATGTCGACTGCTCATCATATATTAAGTGCTATAAGAATTAGTAAACACGTTAATATTAACTTAAGAATGTCTATAAATAGAAGACCGTGCCGCGTGTCAAGATTATTATAGCGCGTATTCTTTATGCAGCGAATGTGGAATATTACTAGAGTTCGAAATTAGATTTGTTTGCGTTCTAGCTTACTTTTTGTATCTACCATTTTTATTTTGTAATACAGTTTATTTTTACAGGTTTTGCATCTACTTTGATGTATATCCATCCGTTATTTGAGACTAATACTAAAGTTCCATTTAGTATTAAAAGAATAAACTTATACAATATATATCAACTACATTTAAAAACTTTGAAGTAGTAATGACGCATAAAGACAAATGTTTCATTTTAACTAATTGTTAATATTCATTTATTCATAAATATGAGTATTTACGTATCAACAAATAAACATACGCATTTAAAAAAATGTTAACCAGCTCTAAAACTAAGATGATCGAAAGAATGAACTACATACCATCTGCAATATACCAAAATAGATCGATCAGAAATGTGGGCGCAATATCTGGTAGTTTCTCAGCGAAAGTATCGACAACAGACGCGTTGCATAATATGTACCAACCATCTGATTATACACAACGAAAGACAATAATACTGGTTTCGGCGCCGCTATTTTAACTATTGTGCCCAGTTATGAAGATATAGGTGTGTGTGAATTACGTTTACGTGTTAGTTTGGCTTCGATAACAACCGGCACAAGACGTGTAGTTCTGGTTCTTTTTTAGTTCAACTTTTCGATTGCCGCCGAATAACTGTGAATTAAATCAAAGCCACCAGACTGTTTGGTATCAACGCCACGTGCGTAACATCTCGGTATATTTATCGAAACGATAACATTTGCGCCCGCGATCTAGTTGTCTCGGTGTATGCCTTAAGTGTTTCGATTATGCATGACTCTGTAATCGATATTCTGGTGTAATTTAGCTTATGAATAGTAAAGGAAGGAATACGCCCATTTCAGAGCGTTCGTTTTATTTTACCGACACGCTTCTTGGATATTTATAATTGAGTGCTACTGTTCTGTGTATCGTCGGAAGCAGCCGGTAAGATTTTTTTATGTAACGATTTTCTTATATCGGTTTTTATTTATATCAGTTCAAACGATGATAATTTTTTTTTTAGTTTTGTTTGTTTTTATTGATCGGAAACCGGTTTAGTTTTGTTATGATGACAGTAATTGTTTTCCAAATTTGATTTTTTAATATATTCAAGGGTTGATAACTATTTCTAGTTTTATTATTAAACTTATCACTTTAAAAAACTCGAAGAGTAAGAAAATAGTTAACTTTTACGCTTATTTAATATATGGTTATTCGAAACGATTATAATATTAGAAGTAGGATAGGCAATCTTCTTTATGTCTGTGTCGTGAGTTTGTAAATACACTCACTTATTTAATTGCAATTGCTTTTCACTTCACCCCGCTATGAAAAGCCGTATTTAGATTTAAATAAAATTTGGCATACAGATAGCTGACTTAGATAACAGGATACTTTTAATCCCATTAAACATTTCCCTAAGGACCAAATGGGTGAAGCCGCTGGCGAAAGCTAGTTTATTATAATATCGACTGACAGCCTTGACTGCCAGACATTGCTGCTCGTGTGCAAACTTTCATAATATTCAATACGTACCAACAATGTTGGTAACCACATCGTATTGCAATCGCTTTCAATTGTTTTCCATCTGCAGACAAAAGGTACAGTTGGTAGCACATATAAGCTTATCGACTTTGACTAAAACTACAGTTAATATCACGTGACAAATGGTGATATTCTCTTATTGATTTTATTAATTAACTGCTCACGTTTGACGTTCAAAATTATTTGCAGAATTTTTGCCACTTGTGCTGCTATGTGTACGTGCGATGACTAGAATATAAATTAATAATAATTGTTACTAAGTAGCAAAAGTACTTATATAGATCTGAAACAAAGAAGCTACCACAACATCCACGCCCTAGAAAACTTCATACCTAGTTTCAAGATATCGCCTTCTCTGAGGTCCTATTTTCGATTCTTGATCCGGTATTTATAAAAAAATAAATTATATTACCTCTGGTTTAAGTGTTGCTTTAGCTTCAGTACTTAATTTAGGATCAGAGCAATTTATGAAATGTTGTCTAATATTTAATATTAATTAATCAAATTTTTCAATTATGAAATTATTAGCGTATATATACGCAGCCTTAAATTAATCATATGGTAAATATAATATAGTATTATTATCTTAATAAAAGTCTCTTAAGATATAATGATTAATTCATAGTTATGATAACACTACCAATAATAATTTATATCTTATAATAATTTATATATATATACAAATTTAGTGTCACGATGTATGTTGCCAAATAAACTCCAAAACTACTGAACCAATTTAAATAAAATTACCCGTATTTTGATCTAATTTACTGGATAGAATAGTTATCATCTCAATGATTCGCTTATGTCGTGAATGTAAACGAATAAAATGTACTAATTAAATGTACTAATTTATAAATAAAATATGGCGGCACGAAGTTCGCCGGGTCAGCAAGTACATATATAAATCATTTAATCTTGGTTCACTCTGTATATTGATGAAAAAACCGCAATAAAATCCTACGAGTAATTAAAAAATCTCAGCATAACTACCTTTCGGCTTCATTATTGGTTCAGCTCTATTCGAAACTAACATTGCATTATCATCTAAAGGGAAAAGAGGTCAGTCACCTTACTCTCGAACGCAATCTTGACTGATCTAATTGCAGTTGTGCCGCTCCGCACTCTTGATTGGTTCACTAGCATATTCTGGCGCTAGTACACCCAATCAAGAGTACGAAACGGCACAATGAGGAAGGATTAAAAAAATAATGCACTAAAAAAGCATCTCACTATACGGCAACTCTAGCTATTAAAAGTTGATTTTTGCAAACTTTTTTGAATGGACCAAACATAGACATTTCCGTTTCTTTTAACTAACATATCAAAATACTGAAATTTACGAATTTTGAAACTTAGATATATTTATATCAATACAAATACAAAAAAATTACAAATAGAATATTAGTTGTTATAGAGTTTTGAAAATTAATTTACTTTTATACATGAAACAAAACCGGAAGGGTTGTCATGGAGAAATCAAGAAAGTACCGTAGCGACATCTAGTTTGATTTCGGGAACTAATGTTCTTTTCAATATTTCCTCATTGCAATGTCGAACGGTCATGATTGCGTTCGAGCGTAAGAGGGCAGATTTTATTTGCAAGATTTGACCCCACACTAAAATCTAACTAACATACAAGTTAAATTAAAACTTGAAGATAATAAAGAGACAAGACCAAAGACAGAGAGAGAAGAAGAAATATTTCACGTCTATTCTTTTTAGTTCTTTACAGTTTAAAGAAGCTATATCAAATACATATTTTGAATTGGATTCTTTCAACTACAATAGAGCCATGTGAATAAAGCCTATTATTGTCATTTCTATTACTTATAGCTGATTAGTAATCGATAAGTTTTTTGTACTTATGTATAGTCGTGATATTTCAAAAGTGTTCCGTATATGACCATGGATAGTATAATATTGTGAGTAACCGACAAGCAATCAATTACATCATCAATATTTGAAATTTAAATCATATTACATTTGAGTTACAGACTATGAAATCATTTGGTAGCGTGGGTCGGCTGTGTGTTGTACGAATATAGTTCCATATCTTAGTGTTGAGTTCGTTCTATAGTTGTAAGTTACCTAGGCCTTAAAAATGTGGGCGAACAAAAGAGTTATGACTATTTCATAAAAATCATTATAGACTGGGGAAAAAGTTTCTTCACATTTTATATGAAAGTGCTGTAACATACTGTAGGCACAATTTTGTTCCTTTTTGCCATCTTGTAGGTGACATAACACATTGCCATAGAAATTTTGGGGCTTCTGATCAAACAACTGCGACAAATGGTTTTAGCAGTCTTCAAGTGATATTAACATGACACTACCTAAACAGTTCTGAAGAGACCGATACAGGTGGAAATCTGAAGGTGCAAGGTTAGGACTACACGGCGGATACATTAACACCTCCCAGCCAAACTCTCTTAATTTTTACTGATAGGGAAAAGATGTGTGAGATCTAAGCGTTATCATGATGAAAAACCAAAACACCCCTTCTATTGATGAATTCCTGCCGCTTTCTATCAACTTCTTGCTTTAATCTCATTTGTTGTGCAAAATCGTTGGTCCTGACCGACGGTAACAGCTCACAATGAATAATTCTCTTTCAATCCCACCATACACACAGCACCACCTTGTTGCGAGTTAGCTCGTGTTTCGCCACAATCTGTGAAGCCTGGCCGACTTTTGACCACGACCTTTTTCGCACGGTCTTGTCGTACGTGATCTACTTTTCATCACCAATTATCAGCTTCTACAAAAATTTATCGGTTTCATTACGTTGAAATATAGAATCACAAATAAGTACACGGTTTATTAGGTTTTTTTTTTCAGTTAGCTCGTGCCCAAATATCCGACGTTTTTGTGTACCCACTTTTTTTCAAATGCACCATAACTATTTTGTGGTCAATTCCCAGTTCTTCAGCTACGTTGTCACTACAGATATGCCGATCTTGCTCCATTTTTTCAAAAATGGCATCCATTTTATTTGTAACAGGGAGATCGGAGCGACGTGCATATTTGACATAAAAATTTCCGGATTGAAAACGCTTAAACCAAAATGCCACTCTCCATAAACATCTCAATTCTTTTTGCGGCTTACGTTGCATTTTTACCTTATTAGAAATTAATTTTTAAAACCTATCGAATTTAATCATTAGATAAACTAATTATAACAGTAAGAAAAACAAATGAAAATCACACATTTTCCTAATTTGAATTCGAAGTTGTCTTCTTTGAAATTTAAACTTTTTAACGATACCAAAATCAGCCAAATACAAATGGTATAGCCAGAAAGATTTTATTATAAGTCTATGGATACTATATGCGAAAAGACTTTTCCCCAACCTAATATGAATCAAGTTCATAAAAATCATACGAACAAAAAACTTTTTTCAAAAATAGAACCGACGGAGCGGCATCGGAGTTTTTCTGTAGGTTATTTATTAAATGATAGGCGCCCCATTTCAAAAGCACTTTCTTAAGTCACTTTTTAGATATAAGTAAATACAAATATTCAACATAGCAAAAGTCTTAGAAAAGGATACTTTGTTCAATTTGCGCGACTAATATTACGGACTAGTTTTTTTTTTAACCCAGTTGTCCTATTCAAGAAGAAATCTATGAACATACCTACTTTCATAAAAAATATACATACTCTTTGAAAATTGAAAACCTCCTTTCGAATTTTGAATGAATTCAAAATAGGTAGGTATGCAATCTTTGTTTTTAGCTGAAATAAACATATCATCTTAATATTTATATCTGTTGAAAAGCGTATTTTGTTTTGTTATAAAAGGATAATTAATGATTCGAATTCGATAAAATTTTAAAAGGGATTTTGAATTTTGAAAATCCGTCAACAATTGGCGATAAACATACATAAAAAATCATACATCGCCGTCAAACATATATAAGTTCCTCTTTTTCGATTTTGAAGTAGGTTAAAAGAATTTTTGGGAAATTGAAGAATTTTTGAAATACCTCCATATTGCTAGTTCTAAGAACGAAATCCAAACAGGAACAATATAAATTTAAGTCGAACCACACTGAAAACATCAGTTGTGATTAGTTATTAAACGTATGGAAAATCTGTTAGAATCTTGCGTGCCATATCAATGTTTACGACAATTTTATCACGTCTTTTCTGTGTTTATCACCATTTAACACCACCAGTTTAATATATATTACTTAGCCGAGGTAATGTTATCTTATCTAACACTATTAGATACCATTTTAAGTACTTTTAAAGGCAATAGACTTTCCTCCCTCTCTACACTGTCTATCGGATTGCGCCCGGCAAAGAGGGAAACAGGAACGGAGGATAATAATTTTTAGTTACTTACCCGCTTCCAAAGCACCTATTACATTTACTGTAAAAGTTCTTTACGATT